AGTAGTATGCTATAGTTGAAGTGCAGAGGTTTACTTCAACCTGTTTGGAAATGAAATTGAGACACATTGAGTTTTAAGGCTAGAAAATATCTTTGCAATACTTTTTCTTTGTGTGTGAGGAAACTGAGACCTAACCAAAGGATTTAAGCAGCTTGCCCCAAGTGTCTCAGTCAGATAATGGTAGAACTGGGTCTACATAGAAATTGAAAGCAGTGGATGCTACCCACATAGCTTGAAACTCCCCTGATGCACTTGCTCCAAAAGCCTGCCACATTCAGCATTAAACATGGTCTTTATCTCAGTGAATTAAGAACTGGTGTATAGGAAGGCCCTATGAGGAACAAAACTGATAAAGGGACAGGATTTGTGTAATAATTCATTTAGCAATGTGAAGGGTTTTGCAGAAAAGGCAGAAGTATAATAGGGAAGAAAGGAAAGAATAGAAATAGTTATTATCTTCATTATTGTTATCAAATGATTATATGACATTCCATCTTCAAAACCTTTTAAAACTTTAATTAAGTGTCAAATGCAGTACAAATCTAAATTTCATATGTTGCCTAGAAAAGTAGATTGTGAGATTTAGTGAGAAATGGAGAAAATATATTAGATTCTCCAATTCAGATACATTGTTGAAATTGGCTCTATTTTAAAACAACTTTTATATATTAATTAAAAAGTGAAAGCATTGTTATGATATACTTTGCACTCAAGCTGTTGACAGAGATAAATGTAAACAGGATCAAAGGATATAGAACAAAACATTTTTGTTTTTTGTTGTTGTTGTTTATCTTTTACAACATTTGAAAATGAATAGATCTGCAAATATATTACTTTTCCCCCTTCGGAACTTGAGGAGTGTGATGTAACAGCTCATTTTGATTTTAAAAGGTTCCATATCAACCCAGCTAATAGTATTTTTTTCAATTCTTCCTGATGTAAATCCTATATCACAATTAAAATGTATCAGAAAAGGATCAGAAAATACATGTAGATCCCATACCTAAGAATAGTGAGATTTAAAGTAGAACCATTATAGGAGACATCTTCTTTTTGTTTAAAGATCACCTTCATTCACTCGTGCATAAAAAAAGATAATTCTTATAGCTAAAGGCCTGAGGTCCTACAACACTTTTGCTTCTTAGGGCTTTTCTTTTCAAGTCACACCTATGTTTTCTGGGGCAGTTTAGCAATGGAAGAAATGACACTTTTATTCTTGTAATGAGGCACCATTACTCTGAGGCCTTTTGTAAGGGTGTAATTTCAAACTTCATTACAGACTGAGGCGGCCTCACTGCCATTACTCAGGAAGATGTGCTTCTGTTGTAACTCTTCAATAGGCCTTACATTTTTAATGCTGCTTCTTAGAATATTTATGAATCAGCATCACCAGTAGGGGGTGTCAGTCTTTAAATAAATGCTGTGGTTCACAAGAATATTCACGACCACGTTTCACTACTTTCCTTGAGACTAGTCAGTTTACAACATCAAAGTTAAAAGTACAGTAATCCTAGCTACTCAGGAGGCTGAGATCTGAGGATCGTGGTTCAAAGCCAGCCCAGGCAGGAAAGTCCGTCAAACTTTTATCTCCAATAAACCACCAGAAAACTGGAAGTGGCGCTGTAGTTCAAGTGGTAGAGTGCTAGCCTTGAGCTGAAGAGCTGAGGAACAGTGCTCAGGCCCAGAGTTCAAGCCCCACGACGGACAAAAAACAAAGTACATGTTATAATCTGAAACAAATTTGGTTTGATTTAGTCCTTATGACTAGCACAGTAAAAGATATATGTATATGTGTATCCCTGCAGTTTTAATATTTTATCATCCAAGTTTGAATATGAAGATAACCTGCTAAATTCCACAATAGTTAATATACAATAATTGTGGTTTCTTTTCAATGTTCTACTCTGTGCCAGACTCCTAGCTACTCAAGAGTCTGAGATCTGAGGATTGCGGTTCAAAGACAGCCTGGACAGGAAAGTCTGTGAGACTCTTTTTTTTTTTAATTTTAATTTTAATTGTGAAAATACTGTACAGAGGGGTTACAATTACATGGACAAAATAATGAGTACATTTCTTATCAAGCATTGTAGCCTCCTCCTTTGTTTCCCCTTCCCATCCCTTCCCATCCTCCACTCCTGTGAGACTCTTATCTCGAATTAACTACCAGAAAACCAGAAGTGGTGCTATGAATCAAAGTGGTAGAGTGCTAGCCTTGAGCAAAAGAGCTCTGGGACAGTGCACAAGCCCTGAGTTCAAGTCTCACGACTGACCAAAAAAAAAAGTTCTACTCTGAAAAAGTGTGTGCTTGCCTAAGCTAGGCCTTAGTCTTGTTAGAAGGTTTGACCTTACAGAAATATTTAAAGATTCTGACTTCATGAATAAAAGATACTTGATGCTGTAAAATTTAATCCTGCTTATGAACTGTGCAGTGATTCCATTCAGGACGGAAGCTTAGTGTGCCAGACTCCAGGGTTAGGAGTTAGAAGACCTGTGTTTTGTGCCTCACCTTAAGCCCAGAAATCTGGGTATGGGGTCCTGTGGGAAGGGAGGGGAAGTCTCCCTATGCCAGTATCTCTTTCCTAGCCCCAGTCCCCCAGTTTTAGGGATTGCAACAGGCCTCGTGGCTTGCTATGGTTATATTACACATGGAAAGGCCTGTAGGTGTAAGCCATTATGAAAATGTGTATACACATATTTGAACAGGTTCACATAGGACTTTTCAAACGGGCATGTTAGTCTCAAAGAGTGCTTAGTGATTGTGATCCCAGCTGGTGTTCTTTTTCAGCTTTGGCTGTTTCTAATGTTAAGGCCGTGACAGTATATATTCAGTTTTAATCTACTCTGTACATACTGTGACAATTCCATGTGAATCTGTGAAAAATTCCATGACGGTATCCTGTTAATCCTCAAATAATAGACCGTTAGAAGTGAAATTTTACTGAGGAAATGTACACACTTCAAAGACTTGGGGTATGTTACAGATTTTTTTTTTTAACTTAACACCATTTTCCTTTAATCTGGGGATTTAAATAGTTTCTTCCTTGCAAGATGCTGTTTTATTCAACTTGAAATTGCTCTACATGTTTCCCTACATGATCTCTGTTTAATTCTGTGTGAAATGAATATTTGCCACCACTTGCTGATTTGCACTTATAAGCAAATCCAGATACCCAGCCCATACTCTGTCCTAAGTGCTGTAACAGAGGAATGGAAAGACATCCATTCAGAGAGTAAGGATGTAAATGGGTCCACTTTCTGCACCTGGACACAGGGGCATTCCCCTGGCCACAGTGACAGGATGTGATCCTGACCACTGTGAGCTGTTCCCACACCTGGGAGGCCTCACTGGGGCCACCTCCTGTGAATTTTGTGAATTACAGGTGTTTGATTTTTTTGCAAGGACTAGTCAGTGCATACATCACGCTGCTCTTTGGAGGCAGTCTATATACATGAAGCACTGAACTGCAGTGCATGCTATGCACCTATGCCTCCAGCTTGGTCTTTTGCTGATAAATTGGAGATAGAGTCTCAGAGACTTTTCTGCCTGGCTTGGCTTTGAACCACAATCTTCAGATCTCCACCTTCTGAGTAGTTAAGATTACTGGTATGAGGACACCAGAGCCTTGCTGCTTCAACTGCAGTTACTTCAGTTAAGTTTGGCTATGAAATGCCAAGTGCCCTAGCCCTTGTGACACTCACCCCTTTATTGGAAAGGCAGAAGTCCAATGTGTCTGCGATCCATGGATGAGTTTTTTAGGCCCACACAGTGCTTTAAAACTCAGAATTGGTTGCTAATACTTGACAGTTGGAAGAATTCACTTTAAATATCCAGATTTATCAATTATCTTTTTTTAAATATCAGAGGATTTGGTAGAATTATCCTATTATTTCACATGTCAAGTGTCAGTACTGTTCACTGCCCCTTCCCCCACTTTTCCTTTCCCTGCCTGGTTCCACCCATATTGAATGTCCCCTACTCTCCCCGCTTCCCTCTTCCACCTGTGAGCAAGATATAGTCAGCCTGGTGTGTGTGTATCCACCTGCTAATGCCTTTTGCCACCATAGTTTTATACTTGTATTTTAGACATTTGCAAGGGAAGGGTAGTACTCAAGACTCAGCACCTTCTAGGCATGTCTCCAACCCGGCATTTTGCTGGTTAATTGGAGATGGAGTCTCAGAGACTTTTCTGCCCAGGCTGGCTTCAAATTGGGATTCTCAGATCTCAGCCTCCTGAGTAGCTAGGAATACAGGTGTGACTCTACCAGCATCCAACTCTTAAATGCGATTTCAACTAGCCTATTTTTAAAAAGTGATTTTGTTTCAGCATTTAAGATCACCACTGTAGCACTACACCGTTGTTTCTTTACTCAGATGATGAATTTTTATTTGGCACACATCTTTTGTTAGAAAAGTGTCAAAAGAATAAAAAATTACAATATGTCTTTATTTAATAAGACTATTACATATTAATGTCTTGGTGTATACATTAATATGTGTAAACTAACACTTAATCTATTTAAGGATATATGAATCCAGTTAATACATTCTCAGCTTTCAGTGGTTGTAATAAAATTGCTTCCAGACCCTTGTGACTCAAGGAGTCTGAGATCTGAAGGGTAGTGCTTTAAGGCCAGAAGGGATAGGAAAATTCACTGTCCAAAATAACCAGCAAAAATCTGGACTGGAGTTATGGCTCAAGTGTCAGAGCACTACTCAAGCCAGCAAGTTGAGCAAGCTGGAGGCCATGAGTTCAAATCCCAGTACAACTGAAAAGGAAAAAAAAGCTACTGCTTAAATAACAGCATTTTTAAGATGAAGATGAAACAAGGCTTCAGGTATGGATTTTGTTTTGATTTTTATTTTTTCAAAATAGGTATATAGTCTAAGGTGACCTTGAACTCTTGATCATCCTCCCTCAGCCTCCGTGCTGGGATTACAGGTGACTACTACAAATGTGCAGCTTGGAGGTTAACTTTAGATGAATGCTTTTTCTTTTCAGAACACGACAGGAGAATGATATGGTTGATTCAGCACCTCAGTGGGAAGCTGTATTAAGGAGACAAAAGGAAAAAAACCAAGCGGACCCCAACAACAGGCGATCCAGACACAGATCTCGCTCGTATGTGCCACCTTTTTACACCGTCTCTCCAAACACTAGCTTAAAGTAGCACATGGATGCTCAGGCAGTCTAAGGAGTTTCACTGTAGCCCTGTTGTTTATTTGTCATATGCACCTTCTGATGTTTGTGACATTCATTAACTATATTTGAAGCCTCTGGAGCTCTGCTAAAACAAAATGTCAGAGAAACTAGGCTGTCAAAACCATATTCTTTGTGTATTATTTTTGAACAGATGTAGACATCCGGCTGGATAAATAGAAATAGGCTCCTTTGTTCTGAAGCCTGGCTGTTGGTAAAATACCTGCTGCTTCTCTCAATTCCAATCTGAAGAATTCTCTCAAGTCTTGTTCCAGACTGAGCCAGATGTGGATGTTTTCCCATCAAATTAGCGATTGCAAACAGTAGTCAGTTAGTGATTCATTACACCCCAGTGTTGGGGCTGGCATGCCCCTCCTGTTGCTAGGCAATGCCATGTGTTAATACTATTACCCCATCACGGTGATGATACCAGTCCACCAAATTAATTTCATTTGAGCTGATAAAATAAAATGTGTATGTGTGTTATTCTATGTATCATGATTCCCCCCTCCCCCCCCCCCCACTCCCATTCTGCAGATCCAGCTGTGACTCCAAGTGGGCGGTAAGGCATGTGGTGTGTTGCTTTGTGGGGGGGAGAGATGAGATCAGGGGGAGGATGCTGAGAAGTTGATGCAGAAACAAACCAGGCAGGTCCATCTGAGCGCTGAGGGAGCCAGGAAGGAGAGCATGAGGTCAGGCTGACAGAGGCCAGGAAGCTCCCAAAGTTACAATCCAGGAACCTGGGGGCGGGGCCGGGGAAGGGGGGAGGGTATGCGGGGTGGGGGGGAGTTAGCTCAGTCTAGGATGCGTACCATTTAATTAGAACTTCATGCACACTATGTTGGTTGCATTAGTGTATCAGAGTGAGACTGCTTTTGTACAGAAATCCTGAAAAAAGCTACTAAGCAGCATACATTATGACAGCTGTATTTATGAGTCTGTAATGATTCTACTAGGAAATCAATTAAACCATTGGTTTAAAAGTCTTTTGTCTTTTAAATATAGAGTTCTTTATGTATTCTGGACGCGTTCTTTTTTTCAGATTTATGGACAAATATTATGGATACTTTTTTTAATTCCAGTACTGGGACTTGAATTCAGGGATTCAAACTCACTTTGCTCTTCTTTCTTTTTTCTTTTTTTCTTAAAGCTGGCACTCTATCAATTGAGACATACTTCTACTTACAGCTTTTTTGCTGGTTTGTTGGAAATAAGAGTCTCATGGACTTGTCTACCTGGACTGGCTTTGAACCACAATTCTCAGATCTCAAGCTCCTGAGTAGCTAGGCTTACAATTGTGAGCCACCAGTACCTAGTTTATAAATATTTTTTTTGCCATCCTAGGGCTTGAACTCAGGGCCTGGGCACTGGCTCTGGGCTTCTTTTGCTCAAAGGTAGTACCCTGCCACTTGAGCCACAGTGCCACTTCTGGTTTTTCTGTGTATGTGGTACTGAGAAATCGAACCCACGGCTTCATGCATGCTAGGCAAGCATTCTACCACTAAGCACATTCCCAGCCCAGTGAATACTTTTTTTGGAGGGTGGTTTTGAACCCAGGCCCTCACATTTGCTAGGCAGGTGCTCTACTACCTGAACAATGCCCCTAGCACTCTTTTGCTTTTGTATTTTCACAACTTTTGAATTTCACCTGTGATGAGAATTCTTTATGAAGCTGGGATTAGAGAGGTATGCCGCTACAACTAGTCCTCCCCCCCCCCCCCTTCATCTTAAGGAATATTTTCCTATCCCAAGATTACAAAGATAGTCTCATCTTTTTCTAGCAGCTTCTAAAGTTTGTCTTATATTCAGACCTGGGATCCATCTAGGATTATTTCCTATATGTATATTAACTAGAAATTGAGAGGTTTATTTCAGGTATTTATTCAGTTATATCATACTATCTGTTGCAAAGACCAGCTTCTTTGAAATATCCTAGAGCCTTCCTTGAAAATCAGTTAGCTGCCTGTATGTGAGCCAATTTTGTTTTATTGATCTATTTGTCTATCTGTACGCCACTATGTTGTCTTGACTGCTGTAATTTATAGTAACACTTGAATCAGGCTGTGTAAATTCTACAACATTGTTCTTTTTCAAGATAGTTTTGAGCCATTTTAAGTTCCTTGTGTTTTTATATAAAATTTTTGATCAAGCCCGGTGCTGGTGGTTCATGCCTTTAATCCTAACTATTCAGGAGGCTGAGATTTGAGGATCGTGGTTCAAAGCCAACTCTGGCAAGAAAGTCCATGAGACTCTTATCTCCAATTAACCATCAGAAAACCGGAAGTGACACTGTGGCTCAAGTGGTAGAGTGCTCCCCTTTAGCTGAAGAGCTGAGGGACAGCACCCAGGCCCAGAGTTCAAGACCCAGGACCAAAAAAAAAAAAAAATTGACAAAAAAAAAAAATTGACAAAGTTGTCAGTCTTTTCCACCCATCTAGAAAAGGCTATAGGTTTAAAGTTAAGATTATTATTAACCCCAGAGGCCAGTTTTGAGAAAATTAATCTTACCTATCCACTTATTATTACTTAACTATATTATTATATATATTAACTATATTATTAACTTTATAATTATTATTTAACTTATTTACAATTTTAGTAGTTATTGTCAAATTTAATCCTAAATATTTAGTATTTTTGTTTTTGTTTTTTTATGCTGGTAGGAGGGCTTGAACTCAGTTCTTCAAACTCTCATATGGCTTTCTTGCTCACGGACTGTGCTCACTTGAGCCATATCTCCAGCCTGGGTTTTTGATGTTTAATTGGAGATGTAGTTTGCTTTTTGCTGTTTAATTGGAGATGTAGTTTGGTAGACTTTTCTGTCTGAGCTGACTTTTACCCTTGATACTGAGTAGCTTGGATTACAGGCTTGGAGCTTGGCAATCCTAAATATTTAGTGCTTTTTGATGATCTAGAATTTATATAGTTGTAAATTTCTTCCACTTATTTTTAGTATGTAGAAAAATCTGATTTAAAAAATACTGATAGTCAGGCATGGTTGTCCTTGTGAAACCCAAGCACTCAGAAAGAAGGCTGAGGCGGGAAGATTGTGAATTTGAGGCCAGTCTAGGGCTTTATAACGCATTCTACACCAGCATGGGTGACATAGCAAGTCAGTCCCTCAAAACACACTGCAACCTCACTAACTGTAGAAATTGACTCATGTGGGAGCATTATTTTGGGGATTTGCTGCAATCACATTGTTATAAACAGTAGTAGTTTTCATTTTAAACCATTTCTTTTATTTTTCTTCTCTTGTTGTACTAGCTAGCTCCTACAGCAAACGGTTGAATTATGATGTAGAACAGGAGTTGTGGTAGAAAGCAGATATTCTTGGTTGGTTCTCTCTTATGAAGCTGAATTCAGTAGTTCACATTAGTGCCTTAATAATGAGGAAAACTCTCTTCTGTTCCTCTTTTGCTGAGTTAGTGAAGAGTTTTTTTTTTTTTTTATTGTTGTTTGTGTGCCAGTCCTAGGGCTTGAACCCAGGGCCTGAGCACTGTCCCTGAGCTTTTTTTGTTTAGAAGTAGCATTCTACCATTTGAGCCACAGATCTACTTCTGGACTTTTGGTAGTTTATTGGAAATAGTCTTTCCTGCCTGGGATGGCTTTGAACTGCTGTCCTCAGATTACAGCATCCTGAGTAGCTAGGATTACAGGTGTGAGATAACATCACCCAGAATAATAAAGTTTGTTTCTTGAATGAGTTTTGAATGCTGTTGTATTTTTATGTACCTATTGAGATGTTTGCATATGGATTTTTCTTCTTTGTTAGTGGAAGAATTATATCAATTCAGTTTTGTTTTGTTTTGCTTGTTATGGGTTGTGAACTCTGGGCCTGGGCTCTGTCCCTCAGCTCTTCAGCTCAAGGCTAGTGCTCTACCACTTGAACCACAGCCCCACTTTCAGCTTTTTCTGCTTATGTGGTGCTAAGGAATCGAACCCAGGGCCTCATGCATGCAAGGCAAGCACTCTACCACTGAACTACCTTCCCAGCCCCAATATATCAATTCAGTTTTGAATCATATGTGCTATCTTTTTTTGTACATTGCTACATTTTATTTGCTATTTTAAAATAGTTTCACTATTTACAGGAAATATTGATCCATAATTTTCTTGTAATATTTTTGCTAGGCTTTTTGGTAACAGAGTTCTCAGATAGCTTTTTTAAATTTTTAAATATTTTTATATAATTCACCAGTGAACAAGACACTATGTTGAAAACTTTACAACGTGGAGGATGGGGCAGGAGGAGTTGGGGAGGAAGAGAGGGAAGGGATGATAGTGGAAAAACAAAGGAGGAGGTAACAATGCTTGATAGGAAATGTACTTATTACCTTACTCATGTAACTGTAACCTCTCTGTACAGTATTTTGACAATAAAAAAACATATAAAAATAATTCACCAATGAAACCATTAGTGCCTGGAGTTTCCTTTATGGGACATTTTAAATTACAAAGTCAATTCTTTTTTTTAAATATATGACACTATTACTATTTCCTACTTGTTCTGTCAAGGTTTCGATAATTTGTTTTTAAAAGAATTCACGGGGGGCTGGGAAGGTGGCTCAGTGGTAGAGTGCTTGCCTTGCATGCATGAGGCCCTGGGTTCGATTCCTCAGCACTACATAAGCAAAAAGAAAAAAGCCAGAATTGGTGCTGTGGCTCAAGTGGTAGAGTGCTAGCCTTGAGCTGAAGAGCTGAGGGACAGCGCCCAGGCCCAGAGTTCAGGCCCCACGACCGGACCAGAAAAAAATTAAAAAAAAAAAAAAAAAAAGAATTCACATACTTGCATCGAGATCTTCCCAAAGTCTGTTTCTATGTACTATTCTTACCCCAGTGCCTAGTTATGTTTACATTCCCCTGACTTTTCATGACTGGTGATTTTTTCTTGTATGCTAGAAATTTTAGGTGAGTGTTTGCAGAGGTCGGGACTATGCAGTCTTTCTTTGCAGTGTCAAGTTTTGTTTTGGAAGGTAGTTAGATTACTGCTGAGCCTCTCCATCTTATCAGGCTCTTTTTTGTTTCCATAATGTGGAACTTCTTAGACTTTGCCACTGGCCTAGAATACACTGTGCTTGGTCCTCACTGCCAAAGCTGGTCCTCCTGAGGTCAAGCTTCTTGGTCCCTCCCTTGCTTGCTCTCTTTCTCTCCTCTCCACTTCCCTCTTGCTCTTTCTTACCTCAGGACCTTGTGCTTGCCAAGCAGAGGCATTCTACCACTTGAGTCAAACCCTCAACATGATTTCTCCCGCTGTGACTGCCATAGAACTTCTCCCTGTCTGGTGTCTCTGATGCCCTCAGCCTTGCAGTAGCGCTTTCTCTGAAGGCCCCTGACAGTCTGACCTGCTTGTTATGAATGTTTTGTTTGGGGAACATACTCAGCCGTTTTAAGGAAAACTCCCATTCTGAATTCTGGAGTCTGAGGTGAGGGGAGGGGGGCTCCCCTATTCTTCCCCTCCTGAGCTTCAGTTTCAGCCTAGTCAACAGCTTCCTTTTTCTGATCTCTGTGTCCTCAGCTCCATGAGACTGTTGTATCCTGAGCTGTACTCCCCCGCACCATTAGGAAGATACCCAAGCAGAAAGCTAGAGAAGTGGGACCTTATGCTTCCTTTCTCTCACAGATCATGGGTGCTGCCTAGTACCTGAACACAGTTCTCTGGGTTGTATCTGGGGTGGTTAGTGAAGATGGGAGGTTCATCTGATGCCATTGACTCCATGGTGGCCAGAGGAACGTTCCTTCTTCCCTTTTCATTAGCAGATCTTAACTGTAGAAAACAATGGGTTTCATGTTGACATTTTGTACATGTTCATAATGTACTTGGTCATATCCATCCTATTACCCTGTAGTGTTCTCCCTCTGTTCCCCTACTGGCTCCCTAAGAAATATTCTTTTGAAGGAAATAAATATCTGTGCATTGAGAATTGCTTCTATTTGATCAGCTGAAATCAGTAAAAAACAAATCTAATGGTATTAAGTCTTTTTTTTTGTACCAGTGCTTGAACTCAGGAACTCATGTTTTCTGGGTGGGTAGCCATGCCGCTTTACTGAGAAAAGAAGGAATGAGCTGGGGATGTGAGGGTAGGAGTGGGTAGACCAAGTTTCTGTTTAATTAATTTGAGATGCCAAGTAGACAGTCAGATGGAAGTGTTATATGGACAACTCGGTAAATGTATTATCTCAGCTAGGCACTGATGTCTCTCAAGTCTGTAATCCTAGCTGCTCAGGAGGCTGAGGTCTGAATATCGAGGTTCAAAAGTAGCCATGGGGAAGTGGCACTTTGGCTCAAAATGGTAGAGCACCATCCTTGAGCAGAAGAACTCAGAGAGAGCACCCAGACCCTGAGTTCAAGACCCTTGACTGTCAAAAACAAAACAAAACAAAACTATCCATGGAAGATAAATGTGAGAGACCTTTATCTCTAATTAATCAGCAAAAAGTGGGCAGTGGGGATGTGCCTCAAGTGGTAGGAGTACTATTAATGAGAACCCCAGGCCTGGAGTTCAAGCCCCAGTACCGCCTCATCCCTCAGAGTATTATGTTTTTGCAGATGATGAATTGGCTTTGTACAGAACAAGCTGAACTTAGTCATCAAAAGTTCTGAAGTTTATTCATAAGTTTATAAGTTTATTCTGGGTACTGTTGACAGTCTGTTCATATTCAAGGACCCTTAATTTTAGCTTATTATTCTTCCTCTTCCTCTTAGCTTTTCCATGATCTTGCAGCTCCTAGTTTCTTCTCCATGGAGAGTGCAATCCTCCTGAGATTTTTCTGAACTTTAAGAGAGGTCACATATGTTACACATATCTGTGACATAATAAATAGAATGGAAGTTATATTAAGAAATTCTCTAGGCTGGATGCCAGTGTCTCATGCCTGTAATCCTAGCTACTCAGGAGGCTGAGATCAGAGGATCATGGTTCAAAGCCAGCCCAGGCAGCAAAGTCTGTGAGACTCTTATCTCCAATAAAATACTCCGAAAAAAGCCAGAAGTGTCTCTGTGGCTCATGTGATAGAGTGCTAGCCTTGAGCAAAAAGAAGCTCAGGGACAGTGCCCAGACCCTGAGTTCAAGCCTCAGGGAGGAAAAGGAGAAATATCTGAGGAAAGTAACTGAAAAATTGTTCTTTGCAGAAAAATATATCAATATAATGTATATATATTATGTATATTGTATATAACATTTTCTGCATGCGTCTATTTGGCATTTCAGATAATACAGTGAGCTATGGATCTCTCAATTCCTCCCATGTTCTTAATTTCCTGCTTCACTGTGTATAAATGTCTCTTACAGAATTCCTGAAGCTCAGAATGTGATGATCTATAGTTATTCATTCATTATGGTTTTTTCTATCCCAAATGAAAAGCTAGAAAATTCAATTCATTATTAAGTACCAGAGACATAGTGTATGAAATACAAAGCCTCCTATCTTATAAAGCATTCATCAGCAACAGATTGGATCTTGTCTGGGAAAACAGTAGGAAGTTGTAGTACTATCTGGTCCAGTCTTCAGGTTTAGAACCACAAGGTTTACAATTGTTAGGAGAAATGTTAGCATCACCGAAGGAAACTCTTTTTTGCTCCTTTTTTTTTTTTTTTTCAAGAATCCATGAAAGGTATTTTATTCACTGAGCCATGAAAGGTATTTTACTCACTGAGCTATGCTGAGGAGGCATTGGAGCTCAAACAATAGCTTTGCAAGTTTCAATGAGTGGGCTCGGGCTCCCTCTTGTGGTGATGTCTTATTATTTTTATTGCAAACTACTGATATCTGGATGAGGTTGTCAAGGTGATGTTTCCAATGAAACGTGATTTTTCTTCAGTGGCCCCCAGTCAAAAATTTACTTGATGATTATCAAAAATAATTTCCCTGGCCTATCCTTCCTTTTCTGTTCTCAGATGGCAAATCTTTAAGTCTGTAGGTTATAAAGTCTTTAGATTATAAATGAAGCATAGTTGCAGAGATGAGTGTTGCTTTCTTTATCTACAGGAGAAGCCCTGATGTCCAAGCAAAAGAGGAGTTATGGAAACATATTCAGTGAGTATTGGGGTCTTTACATCATTGTTCTAGAATCCAGGTAGTACAATGCAATACCAAGAAGAGCCACTGAGAGGCAGCTTTGGTCCACAGCCTGCCAGCTGGCTACTTACTATATGCTGTCCAAGCCCAGGGTAGGGCAGCAGCCCAGAGAAACAGTTCCAGATAGCTCCTGTTTGAGGTCACTTACCTCATCCATAAGTGGAGCTCAGATATACCAATAGTTTATAAATACATACAAAAGGAAACAAATCCAGAAGAAAAGAGACCTCTACCACAAGGGAAACAGGCAGGGGATGGCAGAAGTGTACATGTAGAAAAGCCAAAGAAAGAAGCATAAGAGCTACCAGAAGGGTTTCTTTCCATTTTTCCTTAAAGACATTTTTTTTCATTCATACCCCTGCTTTATATATATGTTAGTTTCACTAGTGCATTTTAGAACATTATAAAGGAAAAGATACATACACTGAAAGATATCAGTGTATATATATATATATACTGACATTGCAATGTTTTCTCTCATGATTATTTCCTTCTAGAAAGGAATTGGTAGATCCATCTGGATTGTCAGAAGAGCAATTAAAAGAGATTCCTTACACTAAAATAGAGTGAGTATGTCATTGAAAATCTTAATGTTTTACTAATGCTAGGGGAGAAATTCCTTCTTGCATTTCAGTTGTGCTCTTTGTAGTGCTTTCATTTCTATATTTTAACAGAAATGAAAAGTGAATATGGAAGCAGGTGCTGGTGGTTCACATCTGTAATTCTAGCTACTCAGGAGGCTGAGATTTAAGGACTGCAGTTCAAAGCCAGCCTGGGCAGGAAGGTCCATGAGACTATCTTTAATTAATCACCCAAACAGCTGAAAGTGGAGGTATGGCTCAAGTGATGGAACACTAGCCTTGAACCAAATAGCTCAGGGACAGTGCACAGGCTCAAATTCAAGTCCTATGCGCGCACACATGTGCACTTGCGCACACATACACACACACAAACACACAGAAGTGAATGTGGAAAAAGAGACAAAAATGGATGTTAAAGCTATCCTCATTCTTCAGTCATTCCATTTCCTGTAGCTGTCCATTTGTACAAGGTAGGTACAATGGGACTTTTGATGAGTAAAATCCATTTTAAAAGGCTTCTTTCTGTGATATTTATTGATTGAAACAAAGTTTGTTTATTTTTTATTTTGGGGGGGTCCGGTGGTGAGGCCTGAACTCTGGGCCTGGGTGCTGTCCCTCAGCTCTTCAGCTCAAGGCTAGCGCTCTACCACTTGAGCCACAGCACCACTTCTGACTTTTTTCTTTTTGCTTATGTAGTGCTGAGGAATCGAACCCAGGGCCTCATGCATGCAAGGCAAGCACTCTACCACTGAGCCACCTTCCCAGCCCTCAAAGTTTATTTTTAATCCATCACCTAACATCTAAAGAATTATGTTTACCATAAAATCTGCCTTAAAGCACAAAACATTTGTTGTAGAACTAGCATGTGGAGTTGAACAGGCTTCACAAGCATTGGAATGTGGTTCCCGGTCCCCAGTCCGGTGGCTGCCCTGTTCATTGTATGTGCTGCCTTGCTGGGATTGGTCAGAAGTTTGTGCCCACTCCATTGGTTGCTTTCCCTTAGGCAACCTGTGCTTCTTTCATACTCAGAAAATTCAGGTTGATAAATCCTAGCCTCTCCCTACCACCCTTATAGGACACAAAGATGGAAGTTTTAAAAATCAAATGCATAATTGATTAAAGTGTACCATGTAGTTTGTTTAAAATGTAATGGTTTAGTATGTTTACAATGTGAAATCATTAAATCAAGCTGATTAACATATCTGTCACCATACATTTCACTTTTTGTGGTTAGAACATTTAAGATCTAGCAAGTAAAGACTTCTTATTTATTTGTTTATTTTGGTGGTACTGGTTAAGATCTGAGTCTCACGGACTTTTCATTGTAGGCTGGCTTTGAACCTGTTCTCAGGATCTCAGCCGCCTAAGTAGTTAGCATTACAAGTGTGAGCCACCAGAGCCAGGCAAGATTGAATTCTTAATGATAGACTAATTAGCAGACAAGAGTATGATGAATGCTTTCTGATAGGCATGAGATGCTATTTTGACTACATTGTATCTTCCATACTCCTGGAGAAAAATCAACTGTAAGGTTGAATTTAGATTGGTGGTTAAACAAATATCCACCTGTATATGCAAATACTCTATAAACAGTTCTTGTTTCATGGATGGCTGAGGGAGTGTTTCATTTTTATTATTATTATGAACAGATCATGACGTTTAAGTCACTAAAGGCTATCAGGCCTGTAAGAAGCAAGTTCTTTTAAAAACCAGCCATTTTTGCAGTTTTAGTATTCAGGAAGAATCAAATTATTCTGTTCTAATTATTTTTATGGATTGTTTGCTTTCTTCTCTGTCTCTCTCTCTCCTTCCTTCTTGCTTTTTCCTTCCTTCCTTCCTTCCTTCCTTCCTTCCTTCCTTTTTCCCTCCCTCCCTCCCTCCCTCCTTCCTTCCTTCCCTCCCTGCCCATTCTTTCTTCTTTTTGTCATTCAGGACTCAGGGTGACCCAGTCCGAATCAGGCATTCTCATTCACCACGAAGTTACCGCCAATATCGAAGGTCCCAGTGTTCAGATGGAGAGCGATCAGTTCTCTCAGAAGTGAAGTAAGTGGGCAGGTCTGAGGACATTGGCATGTGGTTCCAAAACAGCCTTTGCCAATGAGGGAAACAGCCCTCTTTCACTTAAGTTCTGAGTCTAGCTACTAACCTATTGTATTTTGTGGTGTGTATGTGGTGGTGGTGGGGGGGGGGGGAGGCGGTATTTACTGGAGTTTGAACTCAGGACCTCACACTTGCAAGGCAAGCACTCAAAACCATTTGAGTCTAACCTCCAGTCTTTTTGTTGTTGTTGTTACTTTTTAGATAGGGTCTTGGGAAAGTTTCCCCTCTTGGTGCTGGCCTTGGACCTTGATTCTCCCAGTTTCTACTTCCCAAAGAGCTGGGAAGGCAGGCATGAGCCACTGTGCCTAGGCTCTTCATTAATTTTAAAACTCTCTTGCAGTTCAAAGACAGATTTGGTACCACCTCTTCCTGTGACCCGTTCTTCAGATGCTCAGGGTTCTGGTGGTTCTACTGTTCATCAGGTTAGTAATAATGAAGTTTAGAAGGTATACTACTGTTGACAAATTTCAGAAGCTTTTTGTGCTTTGGAGAATTCCTTTTGGTAGGTAAGATAATCATTAAGTACATTCTGAGATTCTTGCTCTTTCTTGGAAGCACCGGGATTTGAACTCAGGACCTTGGGCTTGTTAGGCAAGCAATTACCACTTAAGCCACAGCTCTGCTCCCAACTTTTTAATGGTTAATTGTAGATAAGAATCTTACAGACTTTTCTGCCCAGGCTAGCTTTCAACCATGACCCTCAGATCTCAGCCTTCTGAGTATCTAGGAATATAGGTAAGAATAAGGACCACTGGTGCCTAGCTTCCCTACTTAAAAAAAGGCGTTTTAGGTATTTTTCAAGCCAGAGAAACAAAGTCAAAGTGGGGACAGATGTTATTGTTAACTATGGCAGACAAAACAATTACTCAAATCCTAATTTAGTTGTCTTTCCTTTCAAAAGGAGGTACCTACATCCGTGAAATTTGTCACAAATGTGGTTGAAGGAAACTAGCTGCCTTAACATAATTTAACCCTCTCCTGAATTAGGTATCAGAGAACTTTGTCTTTTTGCACTATTTGACATCATTCTCACAGCAGATATTTAATAGGATGGGCTGACAATTGGATGGACTTATAGGCTTGTTAACTACTACAAATGCAAAGTTGACATTTATGATTGATTTGTGTCAGCCTATTGTTCTGCAGTTTTCACTGGATCAAGAATCCTGTAGAGAATCTCACTCCATAAAAATGTGTGTAAGCCTATGCATTTTAAAAACTTGGGAGTTCATAGGCTAACTTACAAAGCTGTTGTCCATCATATGCTATCTTTAATTTGTCCTGTTTCTTTTTTTTTTTAATCAATGACTTGATTAAAGGACAGAAAAAAACCCCAAAAACCTTATGTTTCCTTAGAAACAGATCAGCAGATGGAGATTCATGTGCCAGAAGTTTATCGGAAAGTACCCTGTGGTACTTGTTGGGAAGTGAAAGGAGAGAGATTTGGGCAGAGGCACAAGCTAAACTGTGTAGCTCAGTCCTATAACCGCAGTGGTGATCCTGTGGGAAGCTCTGGAGCTTCAGTCATCCAGTCTTGGGCTGAGGAGGTTGAGTGTTGTGGGTGAGGGCTGTTCTTGGAAGACTCATGGTATTGGGGAGGCTCTCTTCAGCCTAGGATAGTTCCAGAGGGTCTCAAATTTGAGCTGTACAGCAAGCCAGGACTCCCAATAGCCTCAGCCTGGAATGGAAATCTGAGCAACAAACACAGCTTCTATGACAATCTGTATGATTTATCAGCATCACTGAGGAACCTCAAAAATGGCAAATTATGCATAATAGCTCTCACTTTGCTGTATGTAAGTCAGGTACATCTTGCCTGTGGTGATCCTAAACCTGCTTTCAAATTAAACAGCTACCTATGCACTGAACATTTGCAATAAGTGGTAATAAGCACTGGCCCAAGCAGTCAGTAAATCACAGCTCATCACCTGATCAGTCCACTGCCTGTTCTGGTACAGGCACTAATAACAAGGTTTCTTGTTCTTAAATAATTAGTATTTGATAGGGACAGAACATAGTCCACATTCTGACCCTTTACAAAAAAATACTTGCTAACTCTAGCATATACATATAAACAGACAAAAGAAAAATCATGTAGGTATTTTGAAATGATAAAGGTCTAAGTTAAGAGAATCAACAAGGTAATCTCACTTAAGTAGGTGGTTAGAAGCCACTTCAGAATGTGGCAGTTAACACTGAGACTTGACAGGTTACTAGGTAGAAGGCTGATGTAAGCAAAGGTAAGAGCCTGGGAGGAGCTGATGCTATGAAGAGTCAAAAGACCGGAATGACCTGAGCACACAAAGTGAGGAGGGGAGGGCCTCGAGTCCAGGAGATAAGTGTTTAGATTTTACTTTTTGTTCTGTGTACCACAAAGTAAGCCATTTATTTGGCTGCCACCTGGGAAGGGGGCTGGTGTGACCAGTGGAACAGGAAATTTGCATCTCCCAAGTTCCAACTTTGGTACAGAGTTCTGGCAGTAATCTGCAAAATACTTCAGAGCACATTTTCATGCAAGAGGCAGGCAGGAAGAGGATGGATTGGGGACTTGACTCACTGGCTTATTTAATGTCTGCGGACAAGGAGTCCCAGACCAACTTGAAAAGCAGTTTTAAGTCACTTTCTAGTTTTTCTACTGGAAGGCCTTCTAATAAAATCCCTTTTCCTCTCTAATGTACACCATCATCCTTTGCTCACAAAACCTGTCCATTTAGAAACCTTTCCTTTAATACAGATCTGTATTTACCATGCTTCTGGAATTTTTATTAAATAGGCAATGCTTTGCTACAGCAGACAAACCACTCCTAAGAACACAGGGAAGTGACTTCTTAAAGAGTGATTTGTGTTTAGCTCAAATAGATCTTGTGTTTGTGTATATGTGCCAGTTCTGGAGCTTGAACTTAGGACCTGGGAATTGTCCCTGAGCTTTTTGCACAAAGCTGGCACTCTACCACTTCAGCCACTTTCTGCTTTTTGGTAGTTAATTGGAGACAAAAGCCCCATAGTCTTTCCTGCCTGGGCAGGCTTCAAACCTTGAATCTCATATCTTAGCCTCTTCTGCTCAGAAAAGTAGACTGAGATCCTGGCTTAGGAATTACCAAATATTTGTGTATTTGCTTGAATTATGCCTTAATTTTAGGGAATTCTAATTATGCGTATTAGATTGACTTTAAGATTAAACCCGTCTTTGTTACTTATATAACTATTTAGAGGGAATATTTAGTGAACAGACTGCAGCTCTGGTGTATGTGCACGCCAATCCTGGGGTTTTAACTTGGCCAGGGTGATATCCTTGAGCTTTTTTGCTCAATGCTGCTGCTCTACCACTTGAACCACAGCTCCACTTCTGGCTTTTTTTTTTAGTTTATTGGAGGGAAAAGTGTCAGGGGCTTTACTGCCCAGGCTGGCTTCAAAACCAGATTTAACCTCCCGAGTAGATTACAGGCATGAGCCACATGTGCCCAGCATGTGCCATTTGTGCTCGGCATGCATTAACTTTGAATATCTAGTTTAGTACCATAAAAATTTTAAAGTGTAATAATTTCTGACTTGAGACAGGGTTTGACTTTAATCAGCCTGTCTCTCAATGTGGGATTCTACACTGGCTTCTGATGTATCTTTTTTAAAAGCTTGCTTTGGCTGCATTTTCTTCTTCTGACTTTTAAAAATATTTTCTTTCAGAAAAGAAATGGGTCTAAAGACAGCCTGATTGAAGAAAAATCTCAGTTATCTACAAGCAATCTGGTTGGAAAGCACACAGCAAAAACAGTGAAAACTATTCAAGCTGCCCGTCTCAAGATAGACACTTGAACTTAGTGAAGAGCCAGCAATGGGTTGGGAGGGGTGTTATCACTGGTACTTTTGAAACTGTGAATTAGGTAATTAAGCAAGTATTTTGGACCTGTGTCTCCCGAGTACAAAAAGCATCCTTTACTTCTTTTAAAGATCTACATCATACTTGAGTTGAATGATCTTTGCATTATAACTGGAAGGACAGTCTTGTAAACTTGATGTTGCCTCTTCCTTTCTGAAACTGGATACCAACCATCTATTATCTGCCTACAAGCACCACCAGATGCTTCTAATCAGCCTCCAGGACTCCTGGCCTGCAGCTGGCTTTTGCTCTTGGCAATAGAATGCCAAATGGGCAGAAAGTGATCTCCCCAGCTCCAGGTAGTTTAAAACTAGTGCTCCACACAGAGACATTAACTTTTGGACTGTTTTTATTCACATGAAGCTCCCTGTAATATTGTATTTTGTGGCATTAAGTTCCACTGGTCATTTACAAATGATGTAAGAATCTTGTTTTTCAGTGTTACTGTTTTTAGTGTCCTTGTCTTGTGTTTACTGAGTGGGAGAGGGAAGCTATGTGTCAATGCAAGTTGTCTTTCCATTCTTTTAACTGGATCTCCACATGACCACAGTAGACCCACACAGAGCATCTTTCCTGGCTGCAGTCCTCCACAGCTGTCCTCACCTATGCTTCAGGGCTTTCTCACCCATATTCCTGCCTCGGCCCTCCTCTTTGTCATACATGGGAGTATAGTAATTCCCTCCGGCTCCAACTTTTCCATTGTCATCTAAATTTCTGAGGTAATTGACCTTCAGTATCCTCTAATGCTGTTTTTCAAGCCATTTCTAATGTGGACCCTCTACTGTATTCACCAGTCCAAGAATGTTTAGGTCCTAACATTTCATTTCTGTTCTGACCACCTTTTATAGCTCATCCATTTCAAACTCAGACCTACCTAGGAACTCTCTACCCCAGGGTTTTGTTTATATTTGTGACCTTATGGTTTCTTATTTCAGAGCAGGTTCTATCACAAGAAAATGCTGCCCAACAGCTATAATTGGGCCCACTAAGCTTGTGACGGGTTAAATACCCTTGTTTAACTGGTCTAATCTAGACGGTAATCTGCTATCTGCTCTGGACTGTTTTCTACCAGATTTTTATTTCTTGCTTTAATAAAGTCCAAACCTGAAGTGGTCTGGTCTTTTCTACCTACCTCTTCAACCTCACCATCTCCAGCTCCTACAAGAGCCATCTTAACAAGGCAAGAGGGAAAAACCGAAGCAATCAGAGAAGCTTGACTTATCATCATACTTCCAGTCCCACTCTGACTAGCTCATGCTTTTGACTTGTCAAATGGCATCATAGGATTCATCTCACAAACAATATTTTGTGAAGATATTCCCTTATCAGCTGTTTCCTTCCAGAGGAACTGTGTTTTACATCTTGTTTCCAGCTCATAGTACAGTGCTTTCAATAAAATTTTCAGAATGCTTGATCATGCTATTTGTTCATTCCTATTAGATAGGCTCTTGACAATGGCGGTTCCTAGCTTCTCAGGAGGATGAGATCTGAGGGTTGTGGTTCAGGCCAACTAGGCAGGGCAAGAAAGCCAGTGAGAGTCTAATCTCCAATTAACTAAATAGCTGTGGCTTCAGTGGTAGTGTAATAGCCTTTGAGCCTTAGGAACAGCACCCAAGCCCCAGGACTGGTGCAAAAAAAGGGGAAAAAAGCCAACTCTGAGTGCACATACAACCTCCTCCACAGTGAGTACAGTAAAACACACACCTTTGAGTCAAGAGCAGGCTATTTGAATTACATGCAAGAAAACCTTGCCAAGCGCTATCCTAAAGCCATCCGTATTCCTGACTAACTTTAGCTGTTGAGATTTCAGAGATTTGTTAGTAAAAACATTCCCTTTGAACTTTCAGTAACAGAAGGCTGTTTTATGGCAGTTAATGACTTAAAACACAAATCTCAAATATTAAAACATTTATTCATATTATTCTCTTAAATGTATGTTCCCGCATGTTTGCCAGGCATTCACTACTCAAGAGTCGTGGAACTTTTGCGATCCAAGCAACTTGTGAAGCTCAAAATCATCAAAGACATCCTAGAAATAAAAAAGAAAAGCTTGAAAACATTTATCTGTGTCACATCTTAAGAATCTGACAACAAGACCTCAGCACAAGGTTTTTGTACTGAAAGATGTCACACCATTATTGTATTTAGCTCTGAATACCAGCACACATCGCTAGCTGCCCTTTACATTTAGCCACCAGCAACGAAACTAAACATCGTGAAGGCCCCTACTAAGTGTATTCTCCTTCAAGGCCATTGTATTTCCTAGCTTTGGTACAGGTGTACTAAATGTACGTTACCCCAACTTCCAAGTTACAATCCCGCCACTCACCTGACCTGAAGTCACCTTTGCGTCCCACGTGGTATCCAAACTAGAGCAATCCGCCCCAAGCACTTCATCTTTCACCTGAAGAGAATTATAGTTCAAATTGGTTAAGGGAAACCACACATCTGAGCTGGCCCACCTCAAAGATGACCTGCGCGTACGGACAGACACAAAAGCACGTACTGTTGCTGATGCAGCTCCAACACCGAAGATATCAGAATTTAAGGGCAGGAAAAGGCTGCAGAGCATTTATGTGCGCCTTTTTTGACACCGCATTCACTAGTTTCCAAAAGTGAACGGGCAACACAAAGGCTACGAGGACAGCCGCCCCGGACGGGCTCCAGCACCCAGCCTGGCCTGCTCACCCTCCGCCACGTCCGGCGTCTTCACCGGTACCCAGCCCCTCCGAGCTCGCACTCCACCGCGGGGCTGGCGGGCGCTCGTCCGCGCTGGTTCCCCGGGCCGCGCCGGGGCGAGAGCCGTCAGCCATCCAGGAAAAAGCAAGCGTCGGAACAGGCCGCAGGCCGCCTCGGGCCCCTCAGGGATTTTCCTGGAGAAAGAGACCACGTTAGGGCGCTGGCGTCCGCGCCCGGGGTCTGGAGCGCCCAGCTAGGCTCCGGGAGGGAGCGCCTGTCCGGCCCGCGCCCCGGTGTGGAAGGCCCCGCGGCGCACACGGCTCGCAACGCGCCGGCCGCCACGGCCTCCGCGGAAGGAAAGAAAGGCCGCGCCGCCTTCCCACAATGCTTTTCTACGGCCGGAAGGACCCACTGCCGCCGGGCGCGGGGTGGGGGGTGGGGGGGAGGAATGTGTGGAAGCGGACCGTACCATCTGCAGCCGCGCTCTCGACTGCGCCGTGCGGCCGGAGGGGAAAAGCGCGCAGCGGGAGCCGCGGGGCTGGTTTTCCAGAATGAGGCCCTCGGCGCACGCGCGGGCCCTCAGGACGTCCGCGGGAGCCCACTCTTGATAGGAAAAGTGTGCCGACGTGTGGCCCGGGGCCCAGAGCGCATGCGCGTAGGCAGTGCTGCGCGGACGGGGTAGGCCTAGAGGCCTCAGACTCGACGACGCGCGGCGGCCGCTCACCGGTCCACGGAGCGCCAGGTCATTCATTATCTATAATGATTCATGATGACGACACAGAAAACAAAAATAGACAATTAACAAATCGAGAGCTGGCTACTCAGGAGGCTGAGACATGAGGATTATGGTTCCAAGCCAGCCCAGGCAAGAACATGCGGAAAGACTCCAATTTACTAACAAAGCCGGAAGTGGAGCTGTGGCCGGAAGTGGAGCTGTGGCTCAAGTGGTAGAGCGCTAGCATTGAATGAAAGCGTTCAGGGAGAGAGCCCAGGCCTGGAGTTCAGGCACACACACACAGGTGCACACACACAGGTACACACACACACACACACACACAGTATAGCGCAGCGGTAGGGTGCTTATCCAGTACATTGGAGACCCTGGGTATTAACCCCAGCTCCATTATCACCAAACAACACTTGCACTGTTTCAGGCTCGGTCCTACATGGCCAGGAACCTGTCTTGCACCGTGAGCAGTGCCTGACATCCACCGGAAAGCATGCATTCTGTCACTCCACAGTGTTGGTGGGCAGAGAAGGATGCAAAAGGGTGCGAAGTGATAGAGCAGCGTTGTATGATAGAAATATTAACACTTGATCTTAGCTACAAGCAACCGTCCAATAAAAGTAGAGCAAGGACCAGGATTATATTTAAACACTCAAATTAGCCACCACATTCATAAAAACATACAAACAGGTTGTAGTGGTTTTTAATAATACCACTTTTACATAGTATCTAAACAGGTGATCAATATAAATTTACTAGTACGTTGTTTTACATCTTTAAATTCCTGCTAGCTCTTAAAAATCGTGTGCATATTTTATACTCTGGGCACATTTTAGTTCACACAAGGCATGTTTCAAATTTTCACTAGCTGCCAGGGCTAGTAATGGAAAGTCTGGAGGTGAACTTTGAGTAAAGTGTGTTTGGGTGGTCACGAAAGATCTGGAGTCAAAACCTGGTGCCAGTGGCTCACGTTTTTAATCCTAGACATTTGGAAGCTGAGATTTGAGTATCACAGTTCAAAGCCAACCCGTGGCAGAAAAATCTGCAAGATTCTATCTCTAGTTAGCTAGCAAAATAGCTCTATGAACAAGAGTGTAAGGCTCTGGTAATGGACCAGAAAAAAGGGAGAAAATGATCTGGAAACAGCAAGCTGTGGTCATGTAAGTAGCTGGCAGAGAGCAAGCAATGAAGTGACATGATGCCATGTATGAGACAGGCAAGTCATATAAGGTTCAGAACTGTGGAAGAAATTGGAGTTTTATGCTGAAATTTTAGAATTAAAATAGAGATAAGCAGAAGTTGTTATTTTTTTTTCTTCCTGGTAAGTGTGTGGTTAACAATGGGATCTCCTAGCTCCTATAAGTTCTATGAGAGACTTATCCAAAGATTAGCTTCAGCACCTTTGCTTCTTTTTTATTTTTTCATGCATTTTATTGTTATTAAAAGGTGCTGTACAGAGGGGTTAAAGTTATATAAGTCAGATAAAGAGTACATTTGTTTTTGAGCAATGTCACCCCTTCTCTTGTTCTCTCCTAGTTTTTACCTCTCATCTCCACCCACAGGTTGTATAGTTCATTTTCAACATAGTGTCCAGTGAGTATCACTGCTGCATTTGTTCACTTTTGTCCCTCCATTTGTGTCCCCTCTTAACCTTCCCAAAGACAGATAAAGGAATAAACAATACCAAAATAAAGAAAAGAAAAGAAAAAAGCAACAAAGAAAAAACCTATTGGTTCCATTTCCTGGAGTTCATTTAGATAAGCATTATTTTATATGATCAGATGCACATAGTTATTGTGTTTTGTGCTCCTCTCCTAAAAATATCCTCCTTTAGTCCCACTGTGTGAATGCCTAGAGACCTATATATTTTATCATGTACCAGTGTATTTTTTTAAATCATACAGTGTGTTTACTTGCAGATTTATAGCCACATTCTAGCTACCACAAATGAGGGAAACCATGCAACCTATGTTTCTCTGTGTCTGGCTTACTTTACTTAACATAATTTTTTTCCAAGTCTATTTCCTTATGAATAGTTCAATAGAGCTCCCTTATGACCTGGCAATTACATCCTAGGCATTTATCCAATAGAACATAAATAAGGCCACACTAAAGCTACCAGTACAATCATGATTGTTGCAGTATTGCTTACCATAGTCAAGATATGGAATCAATCAAGTGGATGAGCAGATCAAGAAAACATCTGTGTGTGTGTGTGTGTGTGTGTGTGTGTGTGTGTGTGTAGAGCGCTGAGAGAGGGGGGAGGGGAGGGAAGAATGGAATTCTACTTACCCATCAGAAATAATGATATTGCACTTTTGGTTTTTTTGTAAATAAAACACAAGGAAAAGAAAAAAGTCTCAACTAGTTGAATAAATTAAATACTTAGATTTTTTAATATCTTAGGCATAATTCCAAGCTGTTTGGGATAAAAGTTAAAGGAAATAAAAGAAAATTTAGTCCTACAGCCCAATAATCATTATGCAAAAGAAGCAGCCTGAATTATAAGAACATTAACTTGGGGCAACAGAAGGAAATGTGACAACCAAAAGAAGATAAAGTAACTCCAGACCTGTATTGGGAGCTTATCATAACATTTCGGAAGAAAGGCTGGACATGGAAGACAACAATACCAAGGACTGTCTTTTGATACTGAAGGCTACAGTGTGGGGGTTATAACAAGTCTTAGTCTTGCCTTCTTGATAGACAGAGTCACAGTGAGGAAATTCCCTTGGGCTGGGGAAACCAGCAGAGCTGGGCTTGCATCTGGGCTTGTAGGAAAATACCACCATTCAGAGCTTCGGTTTCCTCATTTATATAGGTCATACCTATACACATTTACTGTACAGATTAAAGCATTAAGGAAAGTTTGTGGTGTCATCTAGAATGGTGTATGCTGCATAATGACATCCAGAAAATGCCCCCAAAGAGCTAGGCTCTTCCTCTTGTTTACCCATCCCTCCTTGAGTATGGAAACTTACTGGATTAAATTCTAAAGGAAAAGGAAGATAATACTGCTTTTTTATTCTTTAATGGCTTTCAATTTTTGCTCCCACCTTATTCCTTACTCTTTCCTTGTCTATATATTTGCCCTAAACTTAAAATAGTGCAAGAACAGGCAGAAGCAAATCATTTGTTCCCTTATTAGATTCATATTGGGGTTCAGGAAATCATTTCTAAATAGTTCATTTCCCTGCTAATTTAACCTCACTTATTCTGGGAAGGAAAGTCCAGTAATGAAGTAGAAGAAAGGACCCGAGAAGAAGACAGGGGACATTTTCAACGTTCTCTTTCCTCCTGGCATGCCTGTGGGTCCATGAAAACATGGACTGACCTCAGTTTTCCAGAGTGGCAGACAGAATAATAGTTCTCAAAAGATGTTCACATCTGCATGCCCAGAATATGTGAATAAAGCACAATGCATAACAAAGGGGACTGTGTAGATGTGATTAATATTAGCGATCTTGAGGAGATGAAAATGTTAGAATGCACAAGAGTCAGAAAAACAGCAGAAGAGAGGCAAGCAGCAAGCAGCCCAAAGCCAAAGAATTTGGGCAACCTCTAGAATGAGGCAATGTCCCTGATCTCACAGCCAGCAGGGGAATAGGGAATGAATTTCTGCCCCTGCATGGAACCAAATTAAGGCACCAGCCTGACTAAGCATAGAAGCAGATTCTCCCTAGCCTCCAGAAAAGAACACGGCCCACTGATGTCCGGATTTTAGCCCAGTGAGACTCATGTTGTATTCCTACAGAGCAGTGAGATTAGTTCTAAATTTGTTAATTTGTAATGTCAGCAAGAGGAAACTAGTTCCTCCAGTTTGTAGATAACAGGTCATAGCACTTTTCAGGCTTCATATCATATTAGCCAGTAACTTATAAGTCAATGTTTTTTGGGGGGTAATTCTTAGACCTCATACTACTGTTACTACTCTCTCTCTCTTTCTTTTTCTCTGTGGTAGGTCATGGGGCCTGAAAAAATAAATGAAAGCTTAATAGACTTTGCCAGAGAACCACACAGATATCCAGGTACAGAGAACAAAGAAAGGTTTATTGCCGGGAAAGGGAGCCGGCTTGACTCCTCACAAGGGAGAATGAGAAGAAGCACTGGCTATTGTCTGAGGTGACCTATATAACCCAGAAGGTTTAGGAGAGACTAGAAGGGGCTAGGAGGCAGAGACCCTGGTGTGGACGTGTAGGCCATGGGCTTCATCATGGTGGACTAGGATATATGTCCACTATCCAAATAGTAGATAAGGGTCCTGCAGCTGCTCAGATCCGAAGGTCACTCTAAGGGGCTCTTGTTGCTTTTATGGTGGTAGCTGCCCCAGAGAAGTGCCATCCCAAGGTAAAGGGGGTTGGAAGATGATTATTTACTGCCTTTACTACATGGGTCTAGTGTTGCCTAGGAAGGGAGCATGCTAAGCTGTGAAGAAGGGAAGGAATGGATTAAGCTATGGGAAGGGAGCTCATTTTGCTAACAGGGCTTGAATTCAGGGCTTAGGCACTGTCCATGAGATCTTTTGCTCAAAGTTAGCACTCTACCACTTTGAGTTACAGGGCCACTTCCAGTTTTTGAGTGCTTAACTGGAGATAAGAGTCTCATAGGGAAGGGTAAACAAAGGAGGAGGCTGCAAT